CGGGGTTGTTTTTGCGGGGTCGGGGGTCGGGTAGCCCCGCGGCGGGGGTCCGGGGTTGAAACCCCTACCCCGGCTTGGGCCCCGGGGATCCCCGCGTGACAACGCTGATCATCACCCTAAGACCTCCTGCTACTGCTTACGAGCGAGGGAGTTCCATGCTCTCTCATGCCAGTACCACCATGAGCGTCTGTTTATTGCTCTGTTCAAGCAAACAGATGCTCCCCCAGTTTCCTGTCCTCCTGAGGTACAACAGGTTGTTGATCAGTATGCTGATCTGATGCAGGAGCCCTTTGGACTACCCAACCGGCCAACCAAGCATCACATTGAGTTGCTGCCCGGAGCCGTCCCTCCTAAGGGACGAGTCTACAGGATGTCCCCTGCTGAGCTCGAAGAGCTCAGAAAGCAGCTTGAGACCCCTACCAACAAGGGCTGGATCAGGCCCAGCATTTCTGAATTCGGTGCACCTGTTCTCTTTGTACCCAAAGGGAATGGCGAGTTCAGAATGTGTATTGACTACAGGGGTCTCAACAAGATCACTAGGAAGAGTACAGAGCCACTTCCTAGGATCGATGACCTTCTGGATATGGTGCAGGACTGCACAGTATTAAGCAAAGTCGATCTCAAATCTGGCTACCACCAGATTGAGATGGTAGAGGAGGATGTCTACAAGACAGCCTTCAAGACCAGGTATGGGACTTACGAGTTCCTGGTCATGCCATTTGGACTTTGCAATGCCCCTGGGACCTTCCAGACAGAGATGCACTGCATCTTCAGGCCTTACCTGGACAAGTTTATGGTTGTCTACCTGGATGATATCCTGGTATTCAGCAAAACTACCAGGGAGCATGCAAAGCACTTGGCTTTGGTCCTTCGGTCATTATGCGACAGCCAGTACAAGATCAACAGAGAGAAGTCCTCTTTTGGAGTTCCCGCTGTCATCTACCTGGGTCACGTAATCTCTGGAGACGGCCTGGCTCCTGAAGCAGCCAAGATAGCTGCTATTCAGGAGTGGCCTCAGCCACAGACAGTGAGGGATATCAGGTCCTTCATGGGTTTGGCCTCATACTACAGAAAGTTCGTCAGGAACTTTTCTGCAGTGGCTGCACCACTGACCAACCTAACAAAGAAAGACACTCATTTTCTTTGGTCCCTTCAGGACGATGGGAATGGTCTACGACCTGTAGAGTTTATGAGTAAGAAGATCAAGACTCAAAAGCTCCAGGACTCCACCTACGAGAAAGAGTTGTATGCTCTTGTCTGTGCCTTGAAACACTGGAAGCACTTTCTCCTGGGAAGGCACTTTCTCCTGGGAAGGCACTTCAAGATCTTTTCTGATCACTCCACCTTTCAGTGGATGAAGTCCCAGGGAGAGTTAAATGATAAGTTGGCACGACACATTCAGTTCATAGACGTGTTTGACTTTGAACTGGAACATAAGAAGGGCTGCTACAACAAGGTAGCATATGCCATCTCTCGTAGGCCTGACTCTTTTGCAGTGATCTCCTCTACTCACTCCTTTGGGGAGGAGACCCGTCAGACCATCACTTGTCTACTGCCTCAGGACCCGACTTTCGCACCTATAGTCAGGAATCTGCAAGCAGATCCTAACTCTGAACCAGGCTTGCTCTAAGTTCAGATCTGTTGTACACTTACAGCAGAGGTGAGGAGCACTTGTGGATTCCACAGGACCAGCGGCTCAGGACACTGCTGATGTCAGAGTGTCATGACGCCCACGGACATTTTGGGTTCCTAAAGTCATATGCAGCCCTGTCGCAGCGCTTCTTCTGGAAGGAGATGCGGAGTAATATGCTGCGCTATGTGGAAACCTGCGAGCTCTGCCAAAGGAATAAGGTCCAGCGTAGGCCTCCTTTGGGACTGCTCAAATCCTTACCCATACCTGATGGCCCTACTCAATCTGTGTTGATAGACTTCACAGATTTAGGCAAGACCACCCCTCGTGGCATGCGTCAGGTTATGGTCTGCGTGGACAGGTTCTCCAAATACGCAGAGTTCATCACCTTGCCAAAAGTGCCCAGAGTCCCGGCTGTGAGAGCAGCCTTTTCAGAGAGGTGGGTCACACACCATGGACCGCCCACTTCTATAGTCAGTGATCGAGATCCTCGATTTTGCAGCGATGAGTGGCAGTCCTACTGTAAGGACTATCTACACTCACGACTGGACATGACTTCTGGTCATCATCTTGAAGCCAATGGTTTGGCTGAAGTGATGAACCAAGTCTTATTCCAGCTGCTGCGTCATGTTATCTCTCCAGATCAGCAGGACTGGGATCTTCACTTAGCTCGAGCACACCTTATGTACAACATGTCTGTCCACTCCTTGACTAGGTTCAGTCCATACCGGTTGCACTGGGGACGTGAACCACGACAGCCTCTCGATGACATCATCGATAAGGCCAAGTCTGATCTGACTCCAGGCACTGCAGAGTTCACCAGACGCTACCGCATAGATATGGAAAGAGCACAGGCGAACTTGCTCAAAGCCCAAAAGGCGATGATTGAACAAGCGAATCGCCGCAGACGGCCTTCCCCCATCCGCACTGGTGATCATGTTTGGGTAGCCAGTTTAGAGTTGTCGAGGGAGGAGGATATCTCCCCCAAGTTGTTGCCACGTTACCTGGGTCCATGGCAGGTCCTAGATACAGTGGGCGCTGATCCATTTGGTCCGTCTTATTTCATTGACGTCCCCCTGCATCTACGAACCTACCCGGTCTTTCATGCATCCAAGCTGTTACCATTTACTCCAGCTGATGCATTTCCAGACCGGCCCCCTCAATCCGGTCCACCGATCCCTGGTAAGGGATATGACGTGGAGTGGATTGAGGATGAGGGGGGCACAGGCCCCGACCGACAGTATCTTGTGAGGTTCGCATTTCAGCCTCCTTCTGAGAGCAGATGGTTCTACGGAAGGGAACTTCTCAAGACAGCAAAGTCAGTTGTTTTGCGATATGAAGCGGCTCAGAAGGGCAACCTTCCTCGCCGTTCACCTCGCCTACATCCCTAGCTCGGAGGTCCTCACTCCCCGGGGCGGTAAGCCTGCAATGACTTGTTGATTCTGACTGTCGAGATTGACTGCGAGGCTGTATACTAACCAGTAGGTTAGTTTTGTAATTTTGTTTGGCTGAGGGCTAACCGAGGGACCTACCTGTAAGGAAAACCCCTGAGGGACATACCTGTAAATATGGGAAAATAGGCCCGGTAGTACTTCGGGTTTCCTACAGCTACCCTAGGCCCGGGCTACCCCTAGGATAGACAGGCCCTAAGGGCCTAATCTGATAGACGGTCCTATTTCCTATAGCCGGGTCCGGTAGAGGCCGAGAGGCCGAAACAGCAGCGGTACTGGTCGGTCAGTCAGTCCGGTCTAGGTCTAGGCTAGGTAGAGTATTCTATTAATATTTTAGGGACTTCGGTCCATGATTTTTTGGAGTTCATTTTCGCGATATAGCGCTCGGGAGCCAGGAGAGTTTTGGAGTGGCGATTGTCTACAGGCGGGACCCTGAGACCCTCACCGTGGGCAGCAACCATAGCCAGCCTGCTGAGAGCTTGCCAGAGCTCGGGCATCCTCTGCGCATCGACCCCTGGGGGTTTCTGCGAGTGGTTGGGCTATGTGGAGACTCTACACTGAGTCTATGTGGGTGGCGGCAGCCATAGCTGCCGGTTCTTCGTCAGAGTTGTTCAGCGGCACTGAAGACTTCATCGCAGGATCTGTTCTTCACCTGGGTGGTTGGCGCTGGCCTCTAGGAGGCCATTCTGATGTGGCGCTACTAACCGGGTGTAGGGTAGTGAGTGGAGTGTGAGGTTCTGAGACTGGCGAGACACTGGAACAAACTCTGTAATGATTTTTGGTTACTTGACTCATCATCAGTGTCCTTGCAGGTTCTTTCTTGTGATTGGTTGTTGGGAGTATTGTCAGAGAGTGAGAAACACTGTGTGTCCTCTCCCCATCTGTGCATGGTTGTGCTTCCGCTATCTACTATGATTTGTGTGCAGTTTGGACTTTGTCTCCTCTCCCCCTTCTCTTATGCATGTATGGGCGTGTATGAGATTGTCTGTGTGTGAGTGGCGGTAAAAATCGTCAGACAACCAAGTTCATAACATCTGCATGTGATTCTCAGCGCTTGGCTGCAGTACTCCCCAAATGTGCAGAGTTAGAACGAATCTTCTGCTAGAATGTGGAATGATACGCCGCCATATGTTTTGTCTTTTGTGCATGTGGTGAGGTAGAGGGCCTTAGGGCCACTGCAAATGTGCAGAATTAGAATGAATATTCTGCTAGAACGTGGAATAATACGCCGCCATATGTTTTGTCTATCGTGCATGTGGACAGTAGAGGCCCTTAGGGCCACTGCACCTATTCTAAGAAAAGAAAAGCGAGAAAACAAAAGAAAAACGAGAAAATGGAGAATTAGTGACCCGTAACTGTGATGCACAGACCTGAATTCGTATCCAGACTATATATTCTCGGCCCACGCAGAAAAACTGGAAGTCTAATGTCTATCTCTGCTCCACGAGGGGTCCTTGCTATTCATAGGGGCCCTTCGGAAATGAAACTGGACACAATTAGGACATACACACCCACAAGCACACACATGCTCACATTGTTGGGGTACGGGGTGGCCCCAACTTTTTACCCCCTTGCACTTTGATTTTTAGAAGCGAGGGGCATGTTTGGCCACCCCACCCTGTCCTTTCATTTTTTTTTTTATTTTTTTTTTTGGTGATGCACCGCGTCATGTGTGTGAGCGTGCATGCGCGTGCGCTCTGAGCCGCATGTGCTGCGACCCCGCGCACGGGATGTGCCGCAATTGATGACTGAAGGGGCGACAGCTGACGCAGTCACTGGGTTGACAAACGGTCACGATAATTTCAGGATGTCGCAAGCTACTTCAATAAGCTACGTAAATAACAATAATAATAACTTCAGTGTCTGGCGATGACGTCGACAGACCTCTTGAAAATTAGGCGCAGTGATGTTATGAATCTTATGATCACGGCATGAGTTTTGTAGGAAATGTTGAGTGTGCGACTTTTTGCGCATCATGGCAGCGGTACAGCATAGCAGCGATGGATTGTCGCGTCGATTCGGAGTGCGTGGACATAAGGCCACAGGAAAGACAACATTTTTGTATATCCTATTTAAAATATGAAACGGTATTCACCAATTCGTGGTAGCTGAGGTAGATCCCAGGGCTCGATCCCTAGTTTCCCAACTTACCTGTGAAACGGTATTCACCAATTCGTGGTAGCTGAGGTAGATCCCAGGGCTCGATCCCTAGTTTCCCAACTTACCTGTGTACAATACCAGCGTCAACTCGAAGAGTTGAACCTGCGACCTGTAGAACCGCCAGTGGTAGGTAGGTCTGTCGTAGGTCTATA